CCCCCCCCACCCCACCACAGCCCTCAGCCAAGGCGTCATGTGTCGACACCAGAGGATTTTATGGTTGTTTTTAGTGAAGTTTATTATTTTACCAGCTGTCTCACAAAGCCACCCCACCCTCACTGTCCCTGAGGTGTCCTAAATACCTGGCTGCTCTTTAATGGAGCAGGTTGACCTTTGACTCTGTTTTGATGAGGGGGGAGGGGGTGAGTGATGGTGTGTTAAGTGTTCAGTTCCTTTTCCCATTAGGCTGAATCAGGGCCTGCAGGACAACTGGGCTCTGGTCTTCATCAGTTTGACCTCTGACCTCAGCTCCTATTACTTGAATTTTCTCCATGGACTTAAAGGCAGCAGCAGTGACAGCAGCAGTAAACCATTGAACTGCAGTAGGTTTTTGTGATAAATTGTTTTTTATTGTACATTTTCAGAAAAAGTACAATACAAGATAGTTACAACAAATATAGCCCCCCCATTCCCAAGGCAGCCCCCCTACCCGGCGCATCCCAGATCTCTACAGAAAAAAAGAGAAAGAAAGGCAGATAATAAAAATGTCCATATATAGGTGCAATTATCATGACGATGTCTAAGAAGGAATTGGCCCATTGTTGCCATGATAGAATATGAGGTGGCTGCCATCTCAAAGCCCACATTTTATTAGCTGCAGTGTGAGCAGCCCACAGTATATGCTTTTGTTGTAGAGTAAACTCTGAAGTGGAGTCATCATTAAGAAGGAGCAAAGATGGTGACAATGGCCAAGAGGCTTCTTCAGCTCTGACCGACTACTGGGAAGTTCTGGTATTTAGCCTCACCATTGCCTCTAGTTGTGACCCATCTGTTTCCTCTGATGCACTGACTGGTTGACTTCACTGTGGTCAGTTGTCAGAGCCTCTTCATGGACCAGGCCAGAAGTCAACAGTTCAGAAACACCCCCCCACCCTCCCTCCCCCCCAAGGTTTGTCAATCCCAACCTCCACTATGTAACACCTCCACGCTAACTTTCCGTCTGCTCCATTCACTGCCAGATCAAACATCACCTGATGGTGGCACTGTCAGGGTTCACACTGACTTCTCCAGGTCAAATTCAAGCACTTTTCCAGCACTTTAAAGGTGACATACAGTTTTCACCACTGAACGAGGTGATGGGTCAGCTTCGTTTCTGGTTGTTTTTGTTGTTGTTGTTTTTAGTTAGTTTATGGTCAGTGGTGAGCTAAAAAAAACAATACTAAATGTTTAGCACCAGTACAAATACTGAGGTACCGAGTTGGCCTTCAAACTGTTTGTTGGTCTACAGGCCTGGAAACCCTGGAATTCTTAGATAATTCTGCTGCAGGGAAATCTGCTGCTCCACACCTGTGTTTTCCTGTGTGTGTTTACAGTAACAGACTGTGACGGGATCTAAACTCAGTCGGTCAGGTGAGTCACTCAGACAGACACACCTCTGACACAAACCCACAGAGTCTCTGAGTCCATTTGTCGGTGAACAGTTCTGTTATGACGGAGAGGAAGTGTCTGCTCCGTTTTTTGGGAACATTTCACCAACTCTCTTTCTGAACCAAACCAAACTCATCAGGTTTGTTTGTCCATGTGTCCACATGTGCTCCCTGATGGACTTTCTTCAAACTTAAAGACCTAGAAAATGTTTATCAAAATTCAAAGAGTCCATTATCATAAAACCTAACTTCACAGAACCATCGCTCAGTCTGTCATACCTGCTGGAACTGTCTGAACCAGTAACCAGAGTCAAGACCAGATACAACAAGCATTTCCATTGAAGGTACTGTTGGTGGGACGCAGAGACAGACCAGAAACCCTACAGACGAGGTTCTTAATTATCTCCTGTTGGTCCCGTGGGTAGGAATCAGCCCAGAATCTGCTGCAGCCCACGTACCATACCTGTGTTCTAGAGTGGTTCTGCTGCTGGAGTCTGGGAGAACAGAGTCGGTGTTGGCACCCTGGACCTCAGCACTGTGTCAACATCCTGTCTTTGTTAGTCCACTGTAGAGGCAGACCAATGTCAGCAAATGGTCTACAGTGGTCCAGCACTGGACCATTGACCAGATAAGAAAGTGACTGCTGTGACTCAGACTCAGTGGGTGGAACGTCGGAACTCCTATAATCAGTTCCTACGCCTTTCCCAAGGTCCAGCTGGGAAAAGTTCTCTGGTTTTGCAATAAAACAATAGTTTGACCTGAGGTTTTCTCAGTGAGTCATAGCAACAGTCAAAAAACAAACAAACAAACACACACGAAGAAAAAGTTATAAACTAAAACGAAGGAGGTTTTTTAAACCAAACAGTCCTTAACTCTCTGGACTGGACTCGTGGGTCAGGTGAACCTCATGTGGGTCAGGTGAACCTCCTCTCAGACCTGCTGGCAGCCGCAGTAACAGCAGCATCAGCATCATCACTGTGCTGTAGTGACCTGGACTGTTAGGCAGAGGGTGATGTCCATCTGTAGCTAAGCTACAGCAGGGTTAGCCCACCAATGTCAGAGTGTGTGTGGAGCAGCGGTCAGACTGAGCTGAATACTAAAGGCTTACTCACACTGACTCCTCACTGAGCTGGTGAAAGCAGCCACTGTCTGCATGAGGCCTTTTGTTTTTCACAGTCATTCAGAGCAGCCACCTGCTCCAGTCTGAGCAGAACCAGGACTGAGATCAGGCTGCAGAAACCTCAGCAGGACACGAACCTGATACAGTTCTTACTGGTACTTACTCCTGGTATGGTTGTCAAAGGAACCGTAGCAGAGGGTTCTGTGTGTGTGTGTGTGTGTTTTTTTTTTTTGTGTGTGAACTATTTGTCATTGTGGTAACTTGGCAGCTGGTAGACTCGAACCTGAAACCTTCCTGTCTGCGTCCTTAACCACCAAGCCCCCACTGCCACCTGAGTGTGGACAAATGTTGATGTTCTCTCTACACCAAACATCAATGTTCCTCTAGAACAGGCATGGGCAACTTTTTAATCCAGCCTGCCAAACTTTTACAAATTAATTTTATTATATTTTATTTATATTATCATTATACTTCTGCCTTTTCCCTGCAGTAGCCACATTTCCCCAATAGATGGCATAGAAAATGATAAAAGCACTTTAGCAATTTACCCTTTATGCGTGAGTTTTACATGTTATTTATCTTTGTTCACACGAACGCTCCATCTTTCTGCTCCTTACAATTGTGGCCCTGAGTCAAAAAGTTTGCCCACTCCTGGTCTAGAACCATTGCTCTCTGAAAGAGTTCTCCATAAATAGTCTGCCTCTGTGTGGTTTCCATAGAAACCAGATAGTTGAAGTTTTGTCATAATGAGGAGGGAAGGCAACAGCTCCAGAGGAGGAAGTGATGTCAGCAGGCTCCCACTGGGAGATCATCAGATGAAGTTCTCCACGTTCTTCTCCAGATTCTTATTTTCTCTGTAACATCAAAACCAAAGACAAAGGCTTTTATTTGATAAGAAATTCACACAGAAATAACAAATGTGAAGACGAAGAACGTCCTGGACATGGACTGGTTTAAACTGTTCTCTACTGAACGCCTTTTGCTGCTTGAACCAGGCCGTTCTTGTTCTTGTTCTTCTTACCCATGTCGTCACTCAGACACAGACCATGAACATCAGGGGCTGATCACACACTCTGAGTTGACCATTGGTGTGAATGTGTAAGTGGGTGTGAATGGTGACTCCATATGTGGTCCTGTGATGGACTGGTCGACCCCCAGGGTCAACCCCTCCCTCACCTGTTGTCACAGTCTGGTCGTGGTTGAAGCAGCTGATTGTCCTCTGGTAGTTATCGTAGAACACAGCCACTAACATCACATAGGTAGAACTTCATTAGTCCTTCAGGAGTTCCCTTTGGAAAATTAAGGATCAGCTCCCCTTATGGACATTTCCTGAATCCCCATGCAGATTTTCACCTGCCCCCCTTCCTCCCCCTCTTCATCCTTCCTCACACTCAGGTTCTCAGAGTCAGTATCTCTCACTCTTCTCCCCCTTCCTGTCTCCCTCCCACCCCTTCTGGCTTTCTGCACATTAAGTGGGCCGAGTGGTGGAAATGTATCTGCGTGGACCGCCTCACATTTATGATGCCACACACACAAACACACACTAAAGTCCATCAGTGGAATTTGATTCTCACTCCAGATAAAGGAAACCAGTCCACACTCAGCTGGTCGGTCAGCTCCACCAAATTTGAAGGATGACATGTTGACTAATTAACTCATTTGTTAACTAGTCATTAATGGAAGCAGCTGGAGTCCAAGTGAAAACCATTGATTTTCTGTGTGGACTTTGGTTCAGAGGAGTGTTTGGTTTATGAAGCAGTAAAATGTTCATGTTCACACAGACAGAGCTGCTGGTCCTCTACTGCCTCCAGTGGTCAGATATTCACAGAAGACTCCTCTCCTCCGGCAGCAGTAGTGGGGGGAGGTGGGGGTTGTGGTTTGGAATGACTCCATCCTCTTGAACAGTCTCAGACTGAATAGCCAACATTCACCCCCCCCCCCCCCCCCCCCTGGACTCTGGCTGTCCCTGGACTGTCATTTCCTGTTGAATGGATCTTTCAGGACTGTGAAATCCAGAAACAAAACCTGTTCCTCTGAGTAAATGAAAAGAGAGTCAGAGTCCTGGGCTCAGCTGTTCAGGATCAGACCAGGAACTTTTCAACACAGTCATGTTTCCTGCAGCTTTGATCCACAGTTCAGATCATTTATTTCCTGCTCCTCTGGATTGTTTTTAGGAAACATTCCTTTTTTATGTGGAGGTAAATGTTTCTTTGTGTGTATTAGTACACAGTAAAGTTCTTTTGGTTTAATTTAAACCTTTCTAATAAATATTTACCTTGCTTTGCCTGTTGCTTTCCTGACATTTGAACCATTTGAACCCCGAGACTTCTGATCATTGGCCACAGCTGAGGTGACATGACCACAGATGCATTAAGACTCTTACTAAGTGGACTAAGTCTCCAGTAAAAAAACTATAAAAACGTCCTGTCACCTTCCTATGCTGTTTTCAGGGTGTACCTCAGCTGCCCTGTGCCAAAGCTCTGTACAACTACGATGGTAAAGAACCAGGAGACCTGAAGTTCAGCAAAGGGGACATTATCATCTTGCGGCGGCAGGTGGACGAGAACTGGTTCCACGGTGAGATGGGCGGAGTCCATGGCTTCTTCCCCACCAACTTTGTGCAGGTCATCAAGCCGCTGCCGCAGCCTCCACCTCAGTGCAAGGCCCTGTACGACTTTGAGCTGAAGGACAAAGAGGCGGACAAGGACTGTCTTCCCTTTTCTAAGGTGAGCCATCACTGCCACGCCTCCTCGTCCACCACGCCTTCATCACTGCAGCTAAGACCAGGCCTCTCTATCATTACAGCTGTGGGTGTGGTTCAAACCAGGGACAGAAGGTAGAGGGCGCTGTAGGCAGAATGTCCAAAAACATAAGAAGTGTCCAGTTAGTACTGTTTAGTACTTGTTGTAGAACTGGGATTTGAAGGAAGAAAAGTGAAGTACTTGTCATTGTGACACAGCTCACCACTGCACACAACCGAATGTGACCTCTGCTTTTAACCCATCACCAAAGTGAACAGTGGGCAGCTCTAAGTGCCCACTGAATGATTGTTGGTCAGGTTTTAAAAGAATCCAGTGATCGGCTGAAGACTGAAGTCTCTTCTCAATGATACAGGACGACATCCTGACTGTGATCCGCAGAGTGGATGACAACTGGGCAGAGGGAATGCTGGGAGATAAAATTGGAATTTTCCCCATCTCATATGTGGAGGTGAGTCAAGGACGGTGCTGTACGCCCCCCTGTGGACACTGTCCCTGCAGAACTAAGAAGTGTGTGCCCGTGTGTGTGTGTGTGCTGTGACTGAGATGAGGTGTCTGATGAACCTGCTCAGTGTCTGCAGGAGTCAAACCCCTGACCTTTCATGTCTGAGGAGAAGACAATGCCCGAGGCAGACGTGTGTCAGCAGGCTGTGATTAAGTCTGAAATTCTTCTTCTTCTTCTTCTCTTTGATTTCAGCTCCAAACTCATTCATTACTGTTGAAACCTCCTGGTTCTCCAGTACCCCCCACCCCCATCCCCAACCCCCCAGGCCGATAGATGTTCCCTCTGAACATCTGAAGGAGCTTCCTGAATCTGTACCTCGTCTACACCTGTGGTCGTTTGTCAGACCACCGATTTATTTTTATTAAGCCGCTGCCGCAGCCTCCACCTCAGTGCAAGGCCCTGTACGACTTTGAGCTGAAGGACAAAGAGGCGGACAAGGACTGTCTTCCCTTTTCTAAGGTGAGCCATCACTGCCACGCCTCCTCGTCCACCACGCCTTCATCACTGCAGCTAAGACCAGGCCTCTCTATCATTACAGCTGTGGGTGTGGTTCAAACCAGGGACAGAAGGTAGAGGGCGCTGTAGGCAGAATGTCCAAAAACATAAGAAGTGTCCAGTTAGTACTGTTTAGTACTTGTTGTAGAACTGGGATTTGAAGGAAGAAAAGTGAAGTACTTGTCATTGTGACACAGCTCACCACTGCACACAACCAAATGTGACCTCTGCTTTTAACCCATCACCAAAGTGAACAGTGGGCAGCTCTAAGTGCCCACTGAATGATTGTTGGTCAGGTTTTAAAAGAATCCAGTGATCGGCTGAAGACTGAAGTCTCTTCTCAATGATACAGGACGACATCCTGACTGTGATCCGCAGAGTGGATGACAACTGGGCAGAGGGAATGCTGGGAGATAAAATTGGAATTTTCCCCATCTCATATGTGGAGGTGAGTCAAGGACGGTGCTGTACGCCCCCCTGTGGACACTGTCCCTGCAGAACTAAGAAGTGTGTGCCCGTGTGTGTGTGTGTGCTGTGACTGAGATGAGGTGTCTGATGAACCTGCTCAGTGTCTGCAGGAGTCAAACCCCTGACCTTTCATGTCTGAGGAGAAGACAATGCCCGAGGCAGACGTGTGTCAGCAGGCTGTGATTAAGTCTGAAATTCTTCTTCTTCTTCTTCTCTTTGATTTCAGCTCCAAACTCATTCATTACTGTTGAAACCTCCTGGTTCTCCAGTACCCCCCACCCCCATCCCCAACCCCCCAGGCCGATAGATGTTCCCTCTGAACATCTGAAGGAGCTTCCTGAATCTGTACCTCGTCTACACCTGTGGTCGTTTGTCAGACCACCGATTTATTTTTATTATCTCTGTTTCTGTGTGTGTCCCCCCCCCTCACAGTTTAACACTGCAGCTCGTCACCTCATCGAGCTGGACAAACCCTCGGACTCTAGCGGAGACTCTGGGGAGGGGCCCTCCACTGGCCCTCAGAGTAACGGAGCACAGCGGGTGGGGGAGAAAAAGAACAGCAAGAAGCGACATTCCTTCACCTCTCTCACCATGTCCCATAAACCCATGCTGGCCCCGCCTCCTCAACGCCACTCCATGGAGATCAGCGGGCCGGTCCTCATTAGCTCCAGCAACCCTACAGCAGCCGCCCGCATAGGAGAGATCAGCGGAGGGCTGTCCTGCAGCGCACCCTCACAGGTGCAGTACTCCACTCCACCAGTAGGAAACTGAAGTCCACAAAGAAAACCAGTGATTTTAGTTCTCGGGGACACGGAGTTCAAACATCTTCTATTATGACATTGGTGACACAAACTGACCACAAGAGGCAGCAGGTTATTCTGTGGATTTTGGTGCTAAAAAACAGTTCCCTGATGTGGTAGAGAGAACAGATTTAATTGGCTGACACTTCTGTGGTGTTAAAACGTTAAACATCAAAGCTGATCCTTTAAACTTAATTCCATCAGTTCAAATAATGAACTTTGTAGAAACTGTGTGTGTGTGTCCTGTGTGTTGTGTTGAGGTGGCGGCCTCCAGACGCAGCAGCTGTAGCTGCCGTCATGTTAGAGCTGTTGGAGAGGGGCCGGGCGGAGCTACAGAGGGTTAGTTGTGGACGAGTGCAGTCACGCATCTGTGATTTTCAAATGCTCTGTTTGGAATGATGGGGAGAGAGGGGAAAAAAACGGGAAGTGGGTCGGACTGTTGACAAAGGAGGAGGGAAGAGGAGGGAGTAAAGAGGGAGGATAAAGAAAGGAGCAATGTGGTCGTGAAAAAATAAATCTAATGAAAGTCTATATAAAGTTTAAAAGTCTGTGAGTTCTCAGAGTTCTCCTTGGTCTGAGCTATGATTTTAGTTCTGACCAAACCTCATAGAGAGAATCATTATTTTAACTCACGCCAAAGTCCAACACTGTAGGTGGTTCGAAGTGCACTTTTTCTGGAGTATTATTTTATATAATTCTGAAAGCTGGATCAGACTAGGCTAAGCTGGGGTTCATGAGATCCAGGTGTGTGTGTGTGTGTGTGTGTGTGTGTGTGTGTTCACCTCTGATCTTTTTCTCTATCTTTTCTTCCAGGTTCACATTTGCACAACTGGACTCATTGTGACTCCGCCCCCCAGCAGCCCTGTCACCACAGCGACAGTCTTCACCTTTCCCTCAGAGACCAGCTTCACCTCCATGCCTGTGGTAGGTGTAGACACGTTAGGAAAGGAGGGTCAAAGGTCAACATCAGGGCAGCGAGAGAGAGAGAGAGACAGAATTGACACTAGTGAAGATCCAGTTGTTTGGTTTCAACTGAGTGGTGTTTTTAGACCTGCAGCCAGCAGAGAAATATCACACACACACACACACACACACACTTCCTGTGTGAGCCCTGCTGCCTGTGGACCTTGTGAATGAGCCGGAATGTGTGAATGTTCTCTGCTTCACTTGTGAAGCTGACGTGATGTTTTTGTACAGAGGAGTTCTAATTATCTCAGCTCCAGTCTGCTCACTGGACCAGAACACAGCTCTCCCCCAGGCCCACTGGGCCACGCCCCCTCCCTTTATTGTGTCATGGAAGCTTTTCCTCTGGTGCTCAGCCATGTGGAGATGTTCTGAAGAGTTCCCGTTCTTTGACTTCTGGTCCTGGAACAACCAGGTCCACTTAGACCAGGTTTAGACTTCAGTTTGGTTCGGATCACTTGACTTCAGTATGAGGTTCTGCTGAGTCCATCAGCAGATACAAGACCCCCCCCCATCACACCTGGTTGTTAAATCTGTTCTTTCTGTCAAACTACACTTTTCTAAAAGTTTTTTTCTTTTTTTTTTTAACAACATTTTTTTTCTCTGTTCTTATTGACAGGATGCTCTGCCTCCGCCCCCTCCCCCTCCCCCACAGTCCTCTGCCAGTGGAGTGGTGTATTCACTGGCGTCGGGACAGAGACCCTCCCCGAGCTCCAGTGACCAGGGTGGGAGACAAAGACCCACAGTGTGAGCATTTGAAAACTCTGACTGTCACTAAGAATATTCAGTTGGGGAGAGGGGGGAGCTGTTGCTCAGGGTGAAGCTCTTAGTGGTAATGACAGGTTGGTGGGGACGCGGTGACTCACTCTGAGGCTCACCCTCAGCAAACAGGTGCAGAAGGTCTGAAATTAACCATTTTAGTCACCAGTGATTTTAGCTGAGACCAAAGTCCATAGAGAAAATCAGTGATTTTAGCTCTCGGACACATGTGACTGCCTTACAAGGTTCTGAATGTCCAATAAAACCCTGAACTCTTCCTTTTTAAAGGGGTCAGACCTGTGTTTGACAGTCTCCAGGGTAACATTATAAAATCCCCTCAGTCACCTCTGACATCTGACCCCACCCCCTTTCTCCCATTCACCTTTCACCCTCCTGACTTCCCACAAAGACACCAAACACACCTGTTGGGCATTAGATGCTCCCTGCTCTGTCCTCCGTCCTCATCTGTGTCTCCGTGTCCTGGTCTTCATGCCTGTCAGACTCTGAGGAATTTATGTTCTTAGAATCAGTGAAGTCAGGCTGAGAACATTCCAGCTGGGACTGAGCTTATGTCCCACTGCTGAACTTCTTCCCCCCTGCAGTGTTGATTTTCTCAGGGTCAGAGGACGACGTCCGTCCTGCAGCTGTTTGGCCAAGAACGTCGTGCACAGACTCATGGGTTCTGTTTCCTGTTTGTGCTGGTACAGGTACGTGGCCATGTTCCCCTACACCCCTCGTAAAGAGGACGAGCTGGAGCTGAGGAAAGGTGAGATGTTCCTGGTTCTGGAACGCTGTCAGGACGGCTGGTTCAAAGGAACATCCATGCACACCGGAAAGATCGGAGTGTTCCCGGGAAATTACATGAGTCCAGTCAGCAGGTTGGTCACATGATCAGGTGGATGTTCTGATTCTGTCAGTGAGTGTCAGGTTAGAACAGAGCAGCAGGTTTGGTTGATGGAAACTTCAAATATTATATATTCAAATAATCGTCAGGGTTAGGTTCTTAACCAAACGTTCTTCATGCTACATCAGGAGATCTAAGGCTGTGTTTTAGCTAACCTTCAGCTCCACTCCCAGCTAACTGCTAGCTTTGATCATGACTTACCTTTTTTTCTTTCTCAGCTCAGGACTTTGTTTTTGGCTAACCTTTAGCTTATTTTCTTTCACTTTCTGATATTTTTAGCTCATCTTTTAGCCTCGCTCTCCTCTCACAGTGACACTTCTCTTTTCCAGGACGGCATCAGGCAGTGCTCAACCGAAATTACCCATGAGTCTTTGTGCTCAGGCTGGCCGTGGTATCACCATGGTCACCTCTTCCTCAGCTCCACTCGGTTCTGTTGTTCCTGGTCTGGACTTTAACAAACCTGCCGTGGTCAATGGCTCCGGTCCAGGGTCTGCTGCTGTGACCTCTTCTGTGACCTCTGCTGTGACCTCCGCTGTGACCTCTGCTCAGACGGCCACAGGTCAGCAGCCCAAGGTTCCTCTGCATGTCACCTCTCAGATGACGGTGAATCAGGCACGAAACGCCGTCAGGACAGGTTCGATTCCCCACTGAAATGATTTCATTATTTTTTTACTTTAACACAGTGACAAATAATGAACCAACTCTTCTTTTATCTAGCGGCCTGTCAGAGTCAGGACCGAACCACCACCACCACTGTGCCTCCCATACAGTCTGTAGCGCCCCCTGCAGGCTTCCATTCAAACTCGGTGGCCTCTGTCCAGCCCTCCCCCAGCTCTGCTCAGAGCAGCACTCGGGCCAGTGTGGCCATGGGCTGTGCCGCGGCGTCTCTCACTCCACCCAACGTCAGTGCTGCGTCTCTAGAGGGCGATGTCCTGTCCAGAACGGTTCCTGTTCTATGTGCAGCCAGTTCTGCTGCTACGGCTGTGTCCAACAACGCAGCCCCCCCCTGCAGAGGGGACAAGGATGGGAAGGTTCGAGTCTTAACAGGAAAGACACAAACTAATAGCTGATAGCGACCTCTAATGGCTGTTTTTTTATCCTGCAGAGAGAAAAGAAAAGTCTCCTGAAGCTTCTGTCCTCCAACAAGAAGAAGTCTCGACCTTCTCCACCGTCTTCTCCTACACTAGAGGTGGAGCAAACTGCTGCTGGAGACGCCCTTCATGGAGCCATGGGACATGAAGCTGTCTCCTCTGGACCTGGACCTGGACCTGGACCTGCAGTCAGTTCAGAGCCTGATTCTGCTGCCTCCTCTTCCTCCTCCTCCCCCTGTGTAGTTTTTGACTCCTCCCACAGGAAGAACACAGCTCTGGATATAGTGTGTGCTCCTATAGCCCCGCCCCCTCGTCAGGCCTGCTCCTCTCTGTCTTCTCAGCAGCAGGACGCTCGGCCCATTGTCTGTGAGCGGTACGGACATTCAGACCTTCTCGTCGTCACGACGTCAAAGTATTTCTTCTGCCTGTGACCCACAGTCTTCGTCCAAGTCTTCTCAGTCTGCTCCTTTTGTCTCCTCAGGTACAGGGTGGTGGTGTCATATCCTCCTCAGAGCGAGGCTGAGCTGGAGCTGAAGGAGGGAGACATCGTCTTCGTCCACAGGAAGAGGGAGGACGGCTGGTTTAAAGGAACCCTACAGAGGAACGGCAGGACTGGACTGTTCCCTGGCAGCTTTGTAGACAGCATCTGACCCAACAGACATGGGCTGGACTGCTGAGTAGGCCACACTCTCTCACTGTTTCAAGGGCTAGTGACTGACAAATAGATGAGTGGCCAACAGACCAGAGACAGAGAAATAGATTTTAGTCTCTTTACAGATTAATTTGTTATAAACTCAACATATTTATGAGTCTGTGAAGTCCTGAGAGACTATCTATCTGACAGGAAACTATGGTTTATAATCTCTTACACACACCCATAATTGAAATCAGAGGTTTTAGTGCTGATTTTAGGAGCTGCTGGTCAACTGCTGCCTCCTCTGGTCACTTTGTGTCACTGAGATAAATCTTATCAAAGGATTCCTAGTCATGAAATCACAAAATAAACATTTGAACTTAGTGATGGAGGCAGCAGTGGATCAACAACTGCTGAGTCTGAGAGATAAAATCACTGATTTTCTCTGAGGTTTGCTGTTACAAGGCAGTTACAAACCTCTGAGTGTCTGAAGTGTCTCACAGTGAGATGAAGAAGAGAAACCAATGCCTTTTAAGGGGAGGAGTCTGTTGTGATTAAAAAGGTTTAAATGAAACCTAAACCTAATTTAAAAAAAATAATTTTAGAAAATTAGTCTTAAGAAAACACTGAAATATCCTTTTATCCAGAACAGCTGTCACAGCCTGGTTGGGGCGGAGCCTAAGTGTGAAGCACAGTCAGACGGATGAAATGACACACACAATCTGCACCTCTGGCTCCCAGCCCCCCGCCCCGAACCCCCACTGCCCCCACCCAGACTGTACCAAACCTGTGTCTAATCCTGGCCCTGACTCTAATTCTAATTCTTATTTTTCTAATTCAACCTCAGACTCTTCCAGAGTCCCAGCGGTTCATTAACTCATTAACTTACTTCACTAACTCAGTGTTGCCTCTTTGTTGTCGTGACAACAGACTTTTCTTCTTCTTTGGTCTGATGTTAACGTGTCTCTGGGTGAAAAGGAAACTCTTCTTCATGTGATGTCTGCTGAGATTTTATTATTTAATCCAGGATCCGACCGTCGACACGACGCCACGCTGGAACTATAAACACACTCCAAGCCACACTCTCCACATGGTGGCGCTGCACGACCACAAAGTTGTCTTATCTCCTTTTTTTGTCTGTTTTTTTTTTTTTTGTGTTCGGCCATGTCGTTCGGTGATTGGCTGCTGAGATGTGAGGTCACAGGAGTCAGGTCCTGGTACTGATTCTGGTTCTGGTTGGTTAAAGACATGTTAGTACCTGGTCTGAGTCCAGTCTCCAGGACATGTTTAAAAAAAATAAAAGCACAAATCCTCTCAGCTAGTCACTTTACAGTCACAGGTACTGATGGAGCTGAACTCATGACCTTTGACCTTTTCTGGTTGTGCTGGTTGATTTCACGTTAATGTTTTAGACTGGACTGATGGTCAGATGTTTGTTTGTCTTTGGTCTTTTTGACTGTGTGATAACTAAGATTACGAGGTAACCCCCACCCAGACGTAGGGACGTGTGTTTTTATTTCTGTGATCTGTCTTAAAGGTTAAAGTTTGTCTGAGAAGAAACAAAAATGTGAATCTGTGTTTAATTATTCTGAGGTTAACAGAGGTCTCCACCCCCTGGTCAGACTGTGCTCTCAGACCATGTTCTTCAGCACATGATCTTCTCAGAGGGTTAGTCATTATTGGAATTGACTTTTATTTGAAAAGACTCCACGCCTACAGGAAGTAGGAGAAAATCTGGTCCTTTTCCAAATAAAACAATATTTATTACTGATAATCTGTTATTATTCAAATATGTCTGGTATCAGGAGAACGTTGGTCCAGTAGTGGTCCGTGACCCAGTGGTTGGGGACCTCTGTTTTAAAAATGATCAAGAATAAAGGAGCCTTTTACGTCTTGGATGAAGACGTCAGTAATGTTGCCCCCCTCAGGTCTTTTTTTTCCCTGCTAAAGCATTTAGTATTTCTTAACCTAAAACTCCAGCAGGAACAGGGGCCAGTACTTGGAACTGTTTTTGTTCCTGTGGTGGTTTTGACAGCAGAGACGAACCTAAAGCATCTTTTCTGAAGTTTTGGTTGTGATTAATCAGAAACGTCCGTTATCTTTCCTCTTGCAGCGACCTCTAGTGGAGGTTCTTCACAAATTGTCTTGTTGTTAGTGTCTGTGTAAAAACTGATGAAACTGACCTGGAACTGTTTGTAAAAAAAAAAGAAAACTGTCATTTATGTGAAAAAGATTCTGAAGTACAGTGGGAAAAATGATCCAACATTTTATAAAAAATAAATAAAATCAAATCTATAACAATTAAAAAAAACCAAAAGGTTTGTATTTTCACTCTGTTCTGTCTGTGAGACTGAGAGAACTTTATCTGATGCTGAGTGTTAGCATCGGTACTGACCTGTGAGTGATTGTTGGCTTAATCTCAGATGAATGTTTTGAATTTGGTTTTTACAGGTATGAACCTGGTCATGTTTCAGTGCGTGAACCTTCAGTATCAGTACTGTTGTTGTCTTCAGTGCAGTTTCTAACTGATTGGTTTTGTTGTGAACAGTGTTTGTCCAACAGTTTCTTTCAGATCCGTGGTGGTTGTCCTCCATCTCTCGTCCTCACCTTTCAGGACGTCTCCTCTCCTGCTGACCGTTTGCTCTAACTCACTGTTTCAGGTGTTGGAGGTGTATTCATCACAGTAAAAATCAATGACTGCTGACCTGATGGATGGAGCTGCTCTGGACCAAGGCCACACACCTCCACCATTACCCACAATTCTATGCTGCTGCAGCAGGAGGACATTTATGGATGAGTGGCTATATATAATTTATGACCAGTGAAGGGCGAAGGTTAGTCGTGTGATTTTTTTTCAAATCGAAACCTGACTGTGGTTCAACACAGGAGTAATCAGATTACTGGAGTAATCTGATCTACACGGACAACAGATTGTGAAGTTAATCTGACTCAGCAATTCAATTAAATTTCACAGTGGGGAATTTAAATAAATGTTTATTAATTAAAAAATAAAATATTGGCTTATATTGTGTAAATCTGATACGAACTACTAATTTTATTAAATCAATTTTAATTAAATCAAATTTTAGAATTTAAGAACTCACGAATGGTCCGTGTTTTCTCTATTGTGTACATTTGTCGCCCTCTGCTGACAGACTACGAAAAAGTGCAAGTAGAGTAGAAAAACAAATATGGCGGCGCCCGTCAACAGAGTTTCCGCTGCTGATGTTTAGTCACTTTTTTCACATTAAAAGAACTTTTAGAAGAAAAATCTATTTCTGTCTGGGAAACCGATCTTTATGTAAGTAGTAAAGACTAAAAATTCACCGAAAATATGATTTAATTTGCAGTATGTTATTAGGCAGAAAATCCGCCTTAAAATAAAGCTAAAATTCCGAGCTTCATCTTTAGCATCTAACGCAGGCGTGGGCAAACGTTTTAATTCGCGGGCCACAATTGTCCTAAAATTAAACAAGGGGCCCGGGTCAGGAGCAGACAGATGGAGCGTTCGTGTGAAAAGACAAATGACCTGTAAAGTCATGCATAAAGGCTAAAATGCTTTTAGCATTTTCTACGCCATCTGTTGGGGAAACGTGGATATTACAGGGAAAAGGCAGAAGTATACTGATAATATGAATAAATAATATAGTGTAATTTAGAAAAGTTTGACGGGCTGGACTAAAAAAGCTGAACGGGCCGCATCCGGCCCCCGGACAGTACAAGAGTTTACCAGTTTCACTGTGAATGAGGTTTAATGACCTATGATCATATGTGTGAGGAGTGAGTTTGATAACATTACTAAACAAATGTTGGGTTTTTCGGCTGTATTGTGATTTTCTCGCTCTCTCTGTGTCTCTAATTTACAGGGCCACGTCCAGACTGGCAGTAGTCTGTGGGGGCTCCAGAGGTATAGGAGCCTCTGTCTCACAGCTGCTGGCACTGAGGGGCCACAGGGTGGCGGTGGTGTCCAGGAACAAGGAGGCTGCAAAAACCACTGTGGCATCTCTGCCTGGAGGTAAACTCCTCCCTCACACCAACAGAGAAAAACAATGAGAATTAATGAGATGTTCATTTTCATTAGCCTCAGTGAGACCTCAGTAAGACTGATGGGTTCAAGTCACCAGTCATTCTGTCTCTGCTCCTCAGACGAACACATGACCTTCAGCTGTGACGTTTCCAAACCACAGGAAGTCCAGGAGACCTTTGACTCCATTCACAAAAGCTGTGGAGGAATCTCCTACCTGGTGAACGCTGCTGGAATCAACAGGTCAGACCAAAGGACACGCCCACCGCCTGTACTCACATGGTGATGTCATCGCTTTTTCTGACCCAGTGTCTTCGCTCAGGGATGCTCTGCTGCTGAGGACCAAGCCTGAGGACATGGAGGCCCTGCTGCACACTAATGTGATGGGCACCATGCTGACCTGCAGGGCGGCGCTGCGGAGCATGCTGCATGTTCAGGGAGGCGCCATTGTTAATTTAGGTCAGTGACAAGCATTTCACAACACTACACAAAGTGTAGCACCTGTGAAAATATCTGTCTGTCAAGTACCATCAGTGTGACACAGACCTGCACTGTTCACATCCATTTCTAACTAACACACACACATACATCCATGAGTATGGAACCACACACTCTGTACCACTAAACCAGAGGTTTATATATGTGTTTATACAGTGGAACCTCGAGGTACCAGTCTAATCCATTCCACGACAGCACTCGCGTCTCGATCAAAATTTCTCCAATAAAAATAATTAAAAACCAATTAATTAGTTAGTAGTTAGAAATATACTATTAATTAATGAAATTAAAATCCCACCCATCTAAACATTAAAAACATAGATATGAACAAATATATTGATAATATAAAATAATAATAATTAAGAAAACATTTTATATTATTGTTATAAAAATGAGTAAAATACTCCAGAGAGAGACAGTGAGGGAGACAGAGCCAGATTATATATATCATTTTTTTATTTTTTTTTATTTTATTAAACACTAAAAGTTGGTGACGAACTCAGAAGCTGCTTTGGTGTCAGAGCTCACAGCTTCCTCATGTCGTACGGCTGAATGGATGCCAGCCCTGGTCTTCTACTGTGTTCCCAGGTTCTGTTGTGGGTCTGAAAGGAAACCCAGGTCAGTGTGTTTACAGCGCCACCAAGTCTGCTCTGGAAGGATTCACACGGTCTTTAGCCAAAGAAGTAGCGTCACGGAAGATCAGAGTCAACCTGCTGGCTCCAGGTACTGAACCGCTCCGCCGTAGTACTCTGGAGGACTCCACTGTCATTCCCAGGATGTGCTCATGTCCCAGAATTCCTCTGTTGTTGGCAGGCTTCGTCCACACCTCCATGACCTCAGGACTGAAGGAGGAGGAGGTCACACGTGTCATTCCTCTGAGGAGATTTGGACGAGCTGAGGAGGTGGCTCTGTCTGTTCTGTTCCTGCTGCAGAGTTCCTACATCACAGGCCAGGTTCTAGTGGTGGACGGGGGTCTGCACTTGTCCATGTAGGAGGTGTAGCCTCATTAGCAGTGATGAGGCTCTCACATCAGTAGATGAATCAGTGACCTCTGACCTCTGGAGGAGGGTTGGGGTGGGGTGTGGATGGATGTGTCTGTTTCTGTTGAGGGTGTTGACGTGGGTCAACATCTGGTTCATGGGTGATAGAAGATGAACAGCCAGGACTGTGTTGGTTCTGAACATTTATTTACTTTAATAAAACCTAAAATAACATCAGGAAACAGTTTCATGTACAGATGGTGATTGGCCAAGAAATGTGCAAGCACAGAAAACAATCAGCAGATGGTGCTGTGTCACACTGTAAAGACATAACAGGCCAGGTATAAATATATGTTACTTTTCTTCAACAGGAAAAAAAAACAAGGATCTGGTTTCAGTCCGTCGGTTCCTTTAGACAGTTCTTTGGCACCACAGAAAGAAAACAACCAAACAATAAGAACAGGCAGAACAGAGAGTCAGAACGTCAGCACCAACAGTGACATCAGGACAGAACTATTATAAAACTGGAACAGGAACAAATAAAAAAGACTTTTTGAGGAGACATCTGGTGATCTGTCACTGCTGCACCCTCACCCTCACCCACACCCACACCCTCACCCTCACCCACACCCAAGAATTGACCTCAGGTTTCCTCCAAGTCTGTCATCATTGTTGTCCAATCAGCTGACTCCTATCAGTCTTCTGTCAGGAGCTGTGGTGGGCGTGGTCACGTGAACTCTGTGGTTGTAGCCGAAAAAAGTCAAAGCGTGTGTGTGTGTGTGTGTGTGTGCATCATTACAGTGAATATTTCAACCTACTGTTTAAACACACACCAACCAAGGAGAACCCTTCACCTTCACCTGCGTCACCTCCACACTTGTCCTCACCCAAACCTACTTGTACCGTCCATCTCTCCACTCTCTCTCTCTTTTTTCTCTGAACACTTTCTTTATTTCAGTAAAAAATAAACATCTGTATTTGTGTGAAAGGTCCGGCCTTGTCCTGACAGCACTGGACTGTAGGTGTCAGCACTGAGCTGCGTCTCCTTTGTCAAAGTGGCGTTCACTCTGTGTTCTGTTGTGACACCACGTTTTCATGCAGGTATCATTTTTTATCTTAGCATTTTAAAAAATATTTTTGTTTCTGAGGCACATCAGCAGGGGGTGCTCCAACAGTTCATTAGAGAAGAAGTTAAAACAGCGGTGGTTCTCCAGGTCTCGTCCCCACAGACCAACAAACCCAGAGGAAGAACACTGTCATGATCAATGACGAGAACGTGACTGTGATGACATCATCAACCAGCAGGTTCCCTTCAGAGCCTGCGTCCTCGGGGTCATCATCAGTTCTACAGATCATCACTCTCCACCAGGCCACCAGGTGGCAGTGGGCTGTAGTCGGGGAAGAAGGCGGCCTTCACATCCAGGCCTCGCTCTGTCAACGCAGCGTAGCGGCTGGTGGACGGACGGACCTTCTTAGGCCTGGGGACGTTTGGCTGCTGCCACTGAGCTGTGGACCAGAAAACATTTATGGAAATGGTTCCACAGAAGAAGAGAATGTGTAGACACCCAGCCTAACCACCAGGTGGCAGTCTGGTCATAAAAACTCACTGTGAACGTCTAGTCGTGCTGTGCTGGACACGATTCCTGCCTCATTCTTGGCCGACACTGTGTACCAGCCGGCGTCTTCCTTCATGGCCGGCTGGATAATCATACACAGGTAACCACAGTTGTCCTGGTGCATGCTGGGAAAGCACAGAGGTTATTTGTAGAGCTGTTGTGTGTGTGTGTGTGTGGACAGAGAACCAGTGTGTGTTCTACCTGATCCTGTCAGTGTTGTGAGTGAACGACTCGTTCTCTCTCTTCCAGAAGATCTGAGGATACGGAACGCCACTGACTCGACATTCCAGTCTGACGGGATGACCCTCGGCCACGATGGTGTTCTGCAGCTTCTCCACGAACGACGGAACCTTGTGCATTTCCTTAGCTGCAGACACAACATTGTCATTTAGTCCACGTGACTGCTATGGTTCCAGAGGTTCTCATGGTTCCAGAAGATGGTTCCTGGTTACCTGCCACGATCAGTTCCAGGTTGAATGAGTTCTGTCCTGCTCGGTTGCTGGCGATGCAGGTGTAGATCCCTGCGTCACGACTCGTCACCGGCTCGATGACCAATGAGTGGACGCCGTTCTCTCTCACCAGCATCTTGTGGGAGGAGTCAGGGCGGATGGTCTGACCGTTCAGCTGCCAGATGAGGTCGGGGGTCGGCAGCCCACTCACCTGGGGGAGGGGCAGGGAACATCATGTACATGTACAAGGCTGTGTGTGTGTGTGTGTGTGTGTGTGGAAGAGCCTCAACGTTATTGCAGTGCATCCTGGGAACAAACAGTCCCCTCCTATATAGTCACTGCTCTGTGGATTTACATCAGACTGAAGCTGTGGCAGCAGTACCAGTAACAGTACCAGTAACAGTACCAGTACCAGTAACAGTACCAGTAACAGTGGGGACTTAGTGGCGATTTAATCCCTGAAACTCAGCTTCCTGTCTTTAGCCTGTGAGCCTGAGGACAGGAAGTGATAAAATGTCAGCATATTTCT